TTTACTGATCATGTGTTATCAATTTGTTTTTGGCTAATCAGTACTCATTTCGATACTATATTTACATCTTCGTGTTTTCATACCCATCGAATGTGTACCAACCTTGGGCCAGCTGTGCATTGCACAGCCGTAGCCTTCTAGTATATTATATATGTATTAAAAATTATGGTGGTGATGGTTAGATGACTAGCATAAGGCTAACATTTTAAATGAGATAAATAATAAAATTTAACCACATCCTCCCTATATTTCCTCTCTGTATATAATTATCGAATGCGCTGAGCCTACGTGGCTTGTGCTTCAGAATCCTACTTGGCGAAGAATCACGTTTCGTAATTAGGTTTGGACAAATCTATATATCTATATATATATATATAAAGAATTAACATTTTTTAAAAATAGTAAGTAGAAAATCCAACAACATTAATTGTATGCCATTTTTGGAAATATTTTGAATTTTTTTAAACAACAAATTGACAATCATTAAATGTAGCCTAAAATTATGGATTTTGGAAAACAAAAAAACGTAATTATAGCTTCACAAATTTCACACATGTTTCCAAAATTATAGCATTGCGTTATTTGTCTTCTTCTTTTTTTTTTAATACATGATTAATCTATCATTTTATAAAAAGAAAAACCTTTTCATAAATTTAGAAATAAGATCATTAATTACATACTAAAAATAACATAATTAAAAAAAATTTAACTAAATGCCCATTTGTTTGGAAATAATCCCTATTTATATGGATTCTTTCATATAGTTTTGGTATATATATAAAAAAAAACGAGATGAGCTATTTGATTTCCGAAAAAATCAATAGCAATAATTTGGTAGTTATTAGTAAATATTTAGTGCGAATAATTATATGCATACGTAATTTTTTATTAAAGTTAATGTGAAATCAATAATTGATCTAAATCTATTGATTAAAATTTTTGAAATTTTTCAATTAATTATTTTGTTTCTACTTAATTTATTTTTATTTTTATTGATATGGTATCATAAGATTTGAAGAAATATTGGTTAAATCTACATAGACAATTGTCTTAGTCTCCGTTCAATATAAAGTATATCTCATTTTATTTGTAAAATTGATAAATCTACATAAAGTGTGGAAGTTTATGTCTACAAAATTTCTTTTCACAGTAACTAAAAAATAATAATATTTTTGAAACTTTTGTACTCAAACTATTTAAAAGAATAATAATAATAATTTTGAAAAATTTTATACTCAAATTACTCAAAAGAATAATAACAATAATAATTTTAAAATCTTCTATACTCAAATTTTACGGTAGTATCGTCATAACTTTCATCACCATATCAATATTTATTTTATAATATACTAGGTAATTTTTTTTTTTTCAAAAACTTTATAATCTATTTATTTAGGCTTATAATATTTTCTCATGTCATATTCAGGAAACATTTTTCATACAGATGTAAACTTTAATATTTTTAGATATATTTTCTTTACAAAATAGTTTAGAAAAGTTGTAGGTGACTTCACATATTTTAATTATAATACAGAAAATTATAGATAATTTTACATATGTTAATACAATATTTTAGGAGTTTTTAATTGTTTAAATATACAAATTTTACGTTCTCTCGAACATGCTAATTTTATATAGTTCTTAATAAATTGATATACCGTAAATTATATGACATGTTAACCACACATCGTTAATTTATAATTATTATTTAATATCGTTTACCCTCATATTTAAATTTTTTTTTGGTACAGGGACCTTCCAGTTTCCGGATCCACAGGGGAACCGACTAATCCGGAATCGAGCCGGGTAGGACCACAAGGGCGGCGAAGCTCTCTCTCGTGGTCCTCCTCTCATCTTTAATTTATAATATTTTTCTGCTCTTTTAAGAGAAGATCAATAGTGGTTCCCCACTTCTTTCATTGGGTGACTCGAACTCGATACTTATTTATAATTATTATTTAATATTGTTTACCCGTGCATCGCACGGGATATGCACTAGTAATATTGATATATCAAAAATTAATAAATAATCTAGGTTCGGACATTCCATAAATATTATTTAGCTAACTTACATATTTTAATATTACTTTTACTAATATAACCCTTTAATTCTTTGTAATTTTACATAATGAGACACTAAGTGACTATTATATCTCCAACTTTTGATTTGCTTACTTCAAATCAGCTATTGAATTGTAAATTATTTTAAAAGTTGATAACTTTTGTATTTCTTATCGGTTTTACATATATAATATATCAAATTAATCATCTTTTGATGATCTTCGATTTTACATTCATATTGTATATATTGAAATAAATAAATTATATTAATCTTTATAATAATAAAAAATAATAATATTTATTAAAATTCATTAGAAAAATAAATTATTTCTCAGTTGACATATTTATGTTTAATGTAGTTATATGTTGTAAGTTAAAAAAATTATTATAATATAACACATGTAAGTCGCAAAAATAAAAAAGTGTCATACTAAATATATAATAATATATATTTTTATAAAAGTTATTTAAATTTTCAACTACTTTTTCTCAATAATTTTAGATTTTAAGAAAAAAATAGCAAACACCCGTGTAATACACGGGCGTTGTACTAGTTTTTAAATATAAACTTTGTAAAAAAATTAATCTCCAACTTATGATTTTACGTAATCTTTTCATGGTGATATGAATAAATTAGACATGCAAATTAAGCACATTTTAGCACACTTTTAGTTCTCACTCGTTAAATTATCCCAAAGCTTTACATATTTGTAGATTTTTTATTGAAGAAAATAAACTACACCTAAAGTAATTATATATTTTTGAATGCATTTATTGGGATATATATTTCAAATGAAAAAATATTCTTTTAACATTCGTAATATACTATTAACATATCATCATATATTAAAACTTTAGTGTTATCAAAGATTAGAGATTAAACATTTGCATATAATGCTATATCAGTATACTTTTATTTATATTGTGCAGCTAGTTTTGAAGGACATGATTTTTCTTATATATTTTTGAATGAATTTATTGGGATATATATTTCAAATGAAAAAGTATTCTTTTAACATTCGTAATATACTATTAACATGTTGGAAAAATCAGTTATAAAACTTGAGTTGACCCAGTTTTGACTGATTTTTTTATGGCTAAATATTTAATTTGAGTTGAATTAAATATTGTAGAAAAATTCTACGTTCTGAGTAGATACTCGTGGTATATTTATTTTCTCAAAACTGATTTTCGGTGAGTGAGAAATAAATTGTTAAAGTTAGCCATAAAAGGGCACGTAAAACGTTGGTTAATGGTGTTTTAACACGTGAAACGTTTTGAGGTTAATGGTGCCATTTATATCAGCCTTAAGTGGCTGTTGTGACTCCTGGTTCTCCCTCAGATGTGGAAGTCCTATAAATAGGACATAGAGCTGCAGAGAAAGACACACAACATTTTCATGGAATCTGAATACTCTCAAAGCCTCATGCATCATATCATAGTGCTCAGTTCTCGTCTTCGAATCTATTCGCTGGAACTCTGAAGGCTGGTGTGCTACAGCTTCAGAGTGTATTGCCGCTGTATCTTTGGGGACATTACGCAAAGACCCGTCAGCACTATACGGGGCGTATTTGTCTTGCGGAAAGATTTCAATCGCCTCGGCTTTCAATCTGTCCGCATTTGAGTTGTAATTTTTTACTTTGTTTCAGTTCTACTTGTACGAACTGAACACTTCAGTCAGTTCATAGGTTCTCGTTGTAATTCAAAACACACTTTGTGTAACATAACATAACATATCATCATATATTTAAACTTTAGTGTTATCAAAGATTAGAGATTAAACATTTGCATATAATGCTATATAAGTATACTTTTATTTATATTGTGCAGCTAGTTTTGAAGGACATGATTTTTCTTATCTCTAAAATTTCCTTCTGCCAGAAGAAGACAATTATCCCTTCGCAGTGTGCCCTTCTTCACGTGCCGGCTTTCGCTGCCTCCAGTCTGGTGCCCTCGTCTCCGACCAGGGCCAAGGCAAGTGATTCGTCGCCGCCCTACCTGCTGTTGAGGGAGAGGGCCAGTTGCATCGCCGTTGCGTCACCCTTCTCCGGCATGTTGGGGTCGTTGATTCGACGCTCCACCTCTGTCCTTGTGCCGGTTGAATGGTTGTTTAGTTATTTTTGTTTTTTTTTTAGGTTTTGGCGGTAATGGGATCGTAGTTTATTATGTGCTCAGGTTTGTTTGTGGATTCCCCCTCTGGGTGCTCGGGTTAGGGTCCTTCAGCGCAGTTGTTCGGGTCGTGCCCCTTATGCCTTCTTCTTCCCCCGATAGGTGACTTTGGGATCTCTGGTGTGGACTAAGCCTCGCCTACTTACTTGTTTTATCTAGCACTTCAGTGGAGTTTTTA